ACCAGGTATGAGTTGTTTGGAATCAAGGTTTATTTAACTCCCCTAGGCTGATCAATGGCCAATGAATCAGGTTGAAAGGGCCGGGAATTCGCCTTTTTCCTCCCACTATAGTGTTAGCTTCCGCCGCGTAAAGGTAGTGGGTCGGACTTCCTCAGTAGATGCTATTTAAGTCGCTTGGTCATTTAGGGACGAATAGCCATTCCGAAGCCTGGGACACCCACTCTTGACCATGATGAAGCATGTTGTATTAAATGGACAACTGGAGGAAAATTGTGCGCTTTAGAGTACACTGACATCGCTTGTCTGTTCGAGTGTCCACAATTCCATTTAGTATGTGCTTTACTCTTTGCTTGCAACAGTGGGTGTCGCTATCCCGGCTCTGATACTTGATGATCAGGAATTAGTTATAGTGGATTGTTCCCTATACTCAGGTAGTTGCGTGATAAATGACGATTGTAAAGGAGATACCAGCCTTTCCAAGGCCCCAGCAGTGAACATAGAACCACCTTCGATGCCAACACGAAGTTTCGTTGAAATAGGAAGGTCGTTCATACTGCGCCTCTGTTCGATCAGCTCTACTTTGCGATTACGAAACCCCCAAATTTGCACGAGGAAGAGGTCGAATATCACTGTTTACTTAGTTTGACACGGGTTAGATGGCGCGAGCGTGTAGACAAGCCTGAGTTAAGCTGATGAGTATTTGGGAACGATTTGGTGAAAATTCGTTATCATATCGATTTCAGATTCATAGAAATCGTTAGTTAGGACGTGTTGCGTATGCCTAGCTATTGTCTACCTCATCGCACCTTGTTTCCATCTGTCACTCCGGGATTGGAAAAGTCCTGTGGAGTTCAGTTTTTACAGAAATTAACCGTGCACTTTCGTGCGGCGGTTTTGTTGCTCTCTCTTGTCTGCCCATTTGGATAGAGGTAAGATTGGAATGTTGAAAACAGGGTCAAGTTAAAACCAACAGTTCACGAAAACTAAGGTTGCAAGGCCATTGCGTAGATGTATGTGCACCACTGTTCGTGACACCTTGCTATTACCCATTGTCTCTAACCATCGCTGACCATGATCTCGGGGTCCCCATCCAGGGAGCCTAACAGGACCTATGTAACCGAGTCTCTTGGTTAAGATTTTCTTATCCGCATGTCAGATATTTTTTGACCGCACTGGGCCTTCCAACCGCTGTATCTCGCCATGGCAGCCTATCTGGTGACATGCGCAACACATGCCCCAACCAGTGTAATCTACGAAGGTGGACTACTTGCTCCAGCGGGCGACCATAATTACCTAAAACTCTACGCCTAACCTCAACATTGCTCTCCCGCACAGACCGTTTAAGCCGAGTAGATGTCTCATGGAACGTTTTTTAATAAAAGTTGTACCATGATTGGCACACGGTCGGATCTCAGACGGGTGTGAAATGCAATAATGTATGCATTTAGGGTTTCAAGGACTAAATTTATTACCACATCAAAGAACATGACACCAAGCTGTCAGCAGGGTCATTCTCGTTGTCATTTTTTTTATCTGAGGGTTGACCATAGAGGTCTATCTTCCTTTTCCTTTCCTCAAAAACAGGTTCACTCCCCGTCCACCTACAGCGCGTGTACTTAATTTGTGCTGATTGTGAGTTTGGCAGTGATCTGTGGAGTTCACTTTACTGTATTTCGCTGTACGATGATGATAATGGCATGACAGAACAAGAAAGATCTGCAGTGGGGACACACTAGAAGAAGAACTCCGTACTATAAAGTCGATCTTTGTACGTAACGGGTATCCGGAACGTTAAGTCAGCAAAATGATTCAGTGCACGGCGAACTCTACAAAGCACCGAGGTTAAGAAGAAATCTGTGTGCATTTATTTACCGTTCTAAGGGGATAAATCAGCTTATATCATATCAAGATATTGTTAAGACTTTCTATGCATCCTAATTTCGTGTGTTGTTCACGTCCAAGTAAATTGTGTGTTTGCGACTGAAGGACGAAGTTCCAGATTGTGTTTATGCTCATGTACTTCTTCCTGTGGAACAACGTACGTAGGCGATTGTCCGAAAGAATTTGTGAACCACCCCGCATGACTGAACACCGGAACGATTAAGTCACTCACCAGTACAGTGGTTTCACACCTGGCTGAAACACCTCAGACTGAACGTGGCCGAGGCGTTCCAACCCCTGTGTAAAGTTCGCGGACGATTATCCAGGCAGGTTCGCTGTAGTATGCTGGCAGAGGCGATGGACGTTCGTCTGACAGCCCCTTGTGTGTGCCCAAAACAATTCATGCAAGCATTAAAGCTTCTCTGACCCACCCCGCACACACGGTCTGGCTAGTAACCTCGATGATCGGATGAGTGGACAAACAAATAGGTGATCGTGTTGAATCCGATTTCCAGTCTTGTGATGAAATCGCTTCTAGTAATCTGTGATTTTATCTTATTTTTCCAAGAGTTTTTATTTTCAGTTAGTGGTATATTGAGATGTATTGGCATGAATACGAATATCTGAAAATGACCTTGTTCGACACTGTTGTTTTGTTTGAAATGTGCTCTGTAGGACTGTTTGTACAACAATGACATTTCGTTTCCAAACAATGCAAGCTTCCTGCTTTGGCTTAACGCTACATACCTATCTCATTCTAGCCTTTTATTCTTATGGTTTACTCTGCGTTTGGCAAGAGTCAGTGAAGATCACTGGTGTATCTCAGTGACTTGTTTTTGCTTTTCGTTAGGCTTTTTATTATGTATTCCTTTCTTATACTACATCATGACAATATAATTTTCAATCCCTCATTTTAATTATTTTTGCCACCAGAGGCTAATGTAAATTTTCCGTTTCAGCTCTGAGTCGCACACTTGGTTATGTGTGGTCGTGGAAAAGGCGGCAAAGGTTTGGGGAAAGGAGGAGCAAAAAGACATCGGAAAGTTCTTCGAGATAATATTCAAGGTATAACAAAGCCCGCAATTCGTCGTTTGGCCCGTCGTGGTGGAGTTAAGCGTATTTCCGGTTTGATTTATGAAGAAACACGCGGAGTGTTGAAAGTTTTTCTGGAAAACGTCATTCGTGATGCAGTTACCTACACCGAACACGCGAAACGAAAAACAGTGACTGCTATGGATGTTGTTTATGCCCTCAAAAGACAAGGTCGTACTCTATACGGATTTGGGGGCTAGGTATATTTCAGAACAGCATTTCTTGTACTGTCACTGGTTAACAATTCTAAGCTTATCATCTCCATCCTGGTGTTTTCTCATTAACTCTGTCTTGTCTTATCTATTTCCAGTCTTTTGTATTTCCCTAACTTGGGTGGTATTTGTTCTTTCGTTTTCCTCACTTACTTGGACTTACATTATCTCATCTCGTGTTTCATTTTTGTTAGATTGGAGGAAAAATGAATTAAACTCTTCCTGTTCTTGGTACTTGTGCTTCCTGCTTGCCTGGGAATTGAATGTGATGTCTTGTTACGAGGCCGTATCTTGTCCGTTATGAGCTTCTTTGATGAAACCTAGCACGCTAGTAACTACCGAATTGGACAACAAATGTTTCGTACCGCAGTGATAACTTTAATGTAATAATAACAGTGGCTTGGTGGGTAGTAGACTTGCGTTCTGCCTGTGAGGTCCTGGGTTCGATCCCCAGTTGGGTCGATGGATTCGCATTGCTGATGAGATCCAACGAGATCGAAACAGTGCTTCCAAGCTTTATATATATATGTATATATATACCCGTCTGAGTTCAACCTGTGTCCCAAGCAAATCACGAACAATAACCTTCATAGGAAGAAAAAGTTTCACGATTTGCTTGTAGGCGCGATAGTGACAGGTCGTCTAGGCTGAGGCAGGTGAAGCTTCTTACGGAATTCATAACCGGGACCTTTGAATGGCCAAAGTCTAACCTACGAAGCAGCATGTAAAAGTCGCAATCCACTAGGGGTCGGTGTTCAGTTCATCGGGTCATATGTACTTAGGACGGAGTCAAATGTCCAAGGTACTTGGTACACTTCAATATCCGATCGCGTCGGCGATCACTGCCCCAGCCAAAGGAAGGCCTCATCTTCGTTGTTTTGGAATCAGGATTGTTGTTTGCCAACTCCCCAAAAAGAAAAAGTGATTCGCCTACCGAATTACAGCCCGGGGTGTTGACTTTTCGTCCTCTGACTTTAATGGGAAAACCGCCACGTGAAGTTGGTGAGTAGGGTTCCTCAGCGCAGGCTATGTGGGACTCATTTCGCGAGGTGTAAGGGAAGAGCAACCAGCCAAAACCCAAGACATCCACTGCCGATCATACTAACTTTCACAACAATGTCTAGATGAAAAAACTTGATTCTTTCAAAAAGTGGAGCATTCTGGTCGGGGCGGGGGTGGTTAATAAGGAAATCAAGTGACGAATTTTAACAGAATCAGGGAAGAATTAACAATTATTTCGAACGTCAGCACAATTCCTCCACTTTGTTTTTTGGTAAAACGGAATACACGAAGAATCAGGAGCCACACAGTTTCGAGGGTCTTTTTCAGTGGAGAATTTCAAGTATATTGATGTCAACGGAAATGAAAGGTTCTAGGAGTAAGTCAGCTATGCTGTGCTCTTCCACCTTCCTTTCCAGAACAACACGCGAAATTGAGTAATCTGCTCCAAAGGTGGACTACGATGGCGAAATAGTCCGTGTTCGAAGAACACCACTGTCGCATAACCTTCAGCATTTCCTGTTATTTATATGCCAGGGCATCCCTTTGATTAGGTGATTTATCCTTCCTGAAAAATCGTTGGTACGATTACGCATTCGACAGGAGGAAGGTATACAACATATACATACCGATCATTCAGTTGCCTCGAATGAGGAAAAAGCGATCTAGACAGCCGTTCTCAGTTGAATAAACTGCATAGGATTACACATTGACCAAAAATTATGCAGGGGTTCTAAAAGACGGGGCCTTAGGTTACTGTTCACGTGGGTCATTCATCATCACCAAAAATGTGTTGTGAGCATGCTACCTGTGGGACCCATGGAATTGATAACGTAAGTACAATATGACAAGTTCCAATAAGAAATTCTTTTATCATTCTATCTTCCCGGCCAAAGTTGCCGGCAAATACCCTCATTCGGGCCTATCGGGTTTCCTACGCCAAACCCAAGGGTACGCGTTTTCGGCTCCCAAACCTGTTTACTAGACCCATGAGATTAGTGGGTTCATATCTGCGCGGGAATATGCAAAAAAGACCAGAGGCACTGCAATAGTTTTCTCACACCGTTATGCGAATCAGGATAGCAATGTTTCCATTTAACCCGTTGTTGAGTCCAACGCATGCCGTTCTAATTTCGCATTAGCCTTTGGCAGCGATCAGTGAAGTTTGCTTCACTGTACGATGATGCATCAGCCCACAAATGTAGGATGCAATTTCTCCGGCAAGAAACTTGTCAATACTGATTCGGCTGTTACCTATTTTTATTGAAGGTGTCACATACTTCTAAATAACTAAGCAAGACNTTTGTTTTACAGCGTTGCTGTGTACCTAGCTGTTCTAATAACACAAGCCAATAGTACTTGCTTAGTTATTTACACGTTGTTTCAAGGTCGTATCACATGGTTTACAAAAAAGCATAAATTGGTCATGTTACCGGATCAATTAAATCTGCTGAACTACTTTACTGAGACACCCATGTGCATAGGTGTTGGCGGATATAATTAAATCACACACATCACGGCCACCGTCGATTCTACAACCGGGCTAAATTGCAACAGCAAATAACAAGTCGACTGGTCGGACGGGCACTTGGTAGAATCTGCTTTGCGTCTTATCAATATAGTCTAATATAAACCGGTTTCGGCGGAATCCAGATAATCTCAAATTATTCCGGTTGCAATGACGTGCCCTTTTGTTAGGGTACTTTAGACATATTTATACTCCCCTAATCCGGTTTCAGGAGGAACTTTGCGTTATACAGAACAAACGAACGGAAGCGGTTCGAAACGTGTTGGGTTTCATCGGTAGTTCGAATCCATCGACCGTGAGACCTCACAGGTTTGATGTGCGCATACTACCCGTCTGTGCGTTTGGCAGCCTGTGATCCGTCGCTTTCCTAGTTCACAGTGGTCCGGGTAAACAAGACAAATTGGTACCGCTGAACGGAGGGACACAACACAGCTTACTGCTACTTTTCAACAGACGGTTTTGTTTGAGCAAATGCTAGAATACGTGTATCAGTGCAAGAATCATTTGAGACGGACCGAAATCCTTAGTCACAAATTAAAGATATGACGCTTAAGCTATTACTATCTTTTTCCATGGAGTTCATTGCAGATATTATCAGTGAATTTGAGAATACTATGATGTGGTATAAGTTTTCAGTCCTGTTTTTCATGAAACTTATAAATCTTAAAGAGTTCATCAGATTTAGATTGCTGCTACGGAAGTGGAAATCAGTGAACATCGACAGTATGTTGAATGTATTCCGACTAAGCGGACTAGATCCTTTCATCGAGCGGTACTGAAGATTGAGCATGATCTGTTAACGATCGGAAGCGAAAAAAGCATCAAGCTGATGACTGGATCATTTAACCCACGGTAATCATCCAGGAAAATGAACGTTTTTCCTCTCTAAATGGCCAAGATGGCATTTTTCGACCACAGAAAACTACTCAGTAGTATTTCACTTTATTAGGCAGCGTTTAGTCGTAAAAGGATTAGTCCACTTCGTTGTTGAAACCATGAATTGAATAAAGTAGCATCCCCTGTTTCCATTCTCTCTTTCGAGTAAGTGATTCTAGCTTCGCGCAGTCAAGTGCTACCTGTAGAGCAACATGGATGTGACGAACTCCGAATCCCCGGACTGTGATCAGCCACTCATGCTTAATACGCAACTTTGAGTCTATGTGCCCGAGACCCGTTTCTGCGAAGCTCAGCTAGGCCTGGATTTGGGTACAGTAATTTCATATCAACTTTATATATGTAAGTGCACAGGTCGATCTTTAAGGAAACGATTATTCAGACCGACTGAGGCAAATCCTATCAGCTTGCGGTCGAATAAAACTTCCGCTGTATTGAAACCGGAGTTGGTAGTGACAGAATGTCGGTGTTCGAACACCGCTGTCTACGCAGCACTGCACGAATCTGGTGGGGTAACCGGATGAGCAGTGCTGAGGTTAGGGGCAAAGTTATGGATATCCGCGGTCGCCCACTGGAGAAAGTGGTCGACCTGCATAGATTGCGTTGGTTGGGACATGTGTTACGCATGTCACCAGATAGGTTACCACGAAGAGCGATGTTCGCCGAAGCAGACACCGAGTGGAAAAAAGCTAAGACCTGGCACGGGGGTATGAAAACACTAACCAGGAGACTGGTTCACATAGGTCCCGTTAGGCTCCCTGGCTGGGGACCTCGGGATGATTGTACCCGATTGTTAGAGACACTGAGTGATATGGCCGGGTGTCGCAAACAGTGGCGTTCGTGCATCTTCTCAATCTCTTTGCAACCTTAGACCACTGAACTTGTCCAATTTTTGTTCGACTCCACCTTCAAGTTTCCATTCTTCATTCAAATGGGCAGCCAAAACCGGCGCACGAATGTGGTTAATGGTTGTTCAAACTAAACCGGCCAGTGAGACTAACGCGGCTGAGATTGCATGGATGATTTAACCGAGAAATACCACTTGCAGATGGATAAAATCGCGGTTTAGTGCAATGGTGTGTGCAGTTATGACGCTGAGGTAGTGCGCACTTTACTATGACCGGTGGCCATTTCTGGCTTCATGAATCCTGTCAGAATGTATGCAGCTGTTCGTATAGATGGTGTTGGCTTATTATCTCATGGTGTATTAACCTGCGAAACAATTCGATCCAGACCTATCGCAAATGTTCTTTAAATTGACTAAAATCATGGCGACCGCGTTACTTACAACGGAATCCAACTGGACGCAATACCAGCCTAAGCAATGACTCTAGGTGTGGTCTCAAAAACCCGGATAATTTTGCACAAGTTTTCCAAGTATTGATCGCACTGAATAGTAGTGGGAAATTACGCTTATCAACTTTGAGCAGATGCCATTTGGAAAAAATATCTAAACTGTCCAGACTGTGTACAGACACCAGAGTCCAATAAATCACCTTGAACCTGTGGTTCTTCTCCTTCCCCTCCGTTTTCACACTTCACCTCGGGTACTGCCAGAAGAATTTACTGATCCGGTTTCTCTAACCTCCTCTTTATTGTCTGTCGCTATATCCAGAAGTCTTTGATTACCATTCAGGGCGATTAGTCCGTTGAATTCTTTCAACGCAGAGCCCATTCCCTTGCGTTTTCAGACAACGGCACCAAGCCATATACGCTCAACTGTTGAACGCGTCGAAGTACTCGCTGCTTCTAATAGCAATCAAAATATGCGTTATCTGTCTTTTCGAAGAAAGTGCTGAATCTATCTATGATGTGCGGTAGCTCTTTTGGCAATGGGATCCCTCTCGTAGTTGGACCTTATTATGTTATGAAAAATCGCAGTAATAGATCAGAGTTTGGAAGTCATTGTGACGACCATCAGTGTAACTGAGTCGTATGACACATGAAGTGGCAGACCAAATATCGTTTCACTTCAGAACATAAAACGGAATCTGTTATGAATGCTTCTGGTTCACTCTATTTGGAGTCTTATCAACCTCGATCAAATAAAAGATGAAAAGCGCCCGTGAATAACTATTACCCCGGGTCGAATGAATCACATACTGAACCACTGGACAATTATCTGAATGTCAAAAGGAAAAACTGATCAAAGTACGTTTGTTGGTCAAGCTCAAACGGATCAACCAACAGAATCACATCAGTGTACAAGACTGGACGAAAAACATGTACGACCGCAGTCTTTCGTGAGAGGGAAGAGAAGAATTTGGGGTTGTTGAAGAAAGTGTCGGATACTGCCCTAGTACGAGCGAGAGAAATGAAGAGTAGAGTATGGAAAAGGCGGATGCTCTAAGAACTCAGAGGAGGGAGGTGTGGAGCTCCAAAAGTGGTTACAGTTAAAATGTGCTTTATGGAGCTGGGTCAGTTCAAGGTATTCACAAACGCGACGGGGGTGCTACCGAACAGTGAGTGTGGCATGGAATTTCTAAGTACAATAGGAAATTTGGCGGCGTATACAAACGTGAAAATGCAAAACGGGAAACATGGAACAAATGTTCCGCACAAGTTCCCTTCCTTATCATGACTAACTATGTACAACTGAAATATGATCAACCTGAGCGCCAAGAAAATGCCCGGTGCAAGTTACCGTTTGCGTGTGCGAGAAGGAATCAGGATTGAGCAATTAGTTACAATGTTAATCTCACAGTTGTATGGATTGTGAGAGTAAGAAGAGACGAAGGGGCACTTTTTGTCCAAACACTGGCGATATAGAATACAAAAATATGGAGGACTGGATAGACCACAGCGTAGCATTCTATATTCATATATTTGATTCCGAATTGAACGCAAACGAATATGCACGTGCAGATTTGACAGAACTGCGGATGTGAGGCTGAATGATATGAACATCGATGGGTGAAAATGAGAAATGTTATATGAAGCGCTGTGAGGCATAACTCTTGAGGGAATTAGAGGTAGAGAACCAATCAGAAGCATCAAAAAGAACAGCGAGAGAAAATTAATCACCCCTCTTTCCACTTAATCTTGAATTTGGTCATCTTATTGGGTACACGTTTGTTCGAATCGGGCGGGTCGGTGGATGCCGGTGCAATCCGAGTATCATTTCTCGGGAGGACAGAATTCGTTGGCACAATTGCATTGGAGAATGAACTGTTTGAGGTTGTCGGTATGTGTTGTTCCTCTACCTGGCCAAATTGCTGGTTTGAATTCAGCCTTGTGGTAGGATTAGGTGTATCAAGGGGTATAGATAAAGCAGCGTTCAGACGGCTGCCTGGACGACGAGGATTCGATGATCCAATGTCAGCTCGTGGCAAATCCATTCCGGATAACCCAGACGGCAACGACTGAATGAGAGACGGACTGGAATAACTTGTGGGCAGTGAGTAACCCGAACCGGTGAACGGCACTCGAGCACCTAACCGAGGCCCACCAAAAGCTGACGGATTGTTATGAGGATCATTTGCATTAAAACGATTAGCTTGTGATCCTAACAAAGGTCCGTATCTTGGAAAATGTGTCGGTGTCCCGGGACGATGTAGCGCTGAGTTCAGATTGGATGCATAACCAGGAGGAAGGGACCCTCGCGGCCGAATAGCGAATTGACTAGGGTCTCTCATCCCGAATGCAGTCTGATTGCTAGGATGGTATCCACGATTGAATAAATGTGACCCACGCGGATGATAAGGCGCGGCTCGTCGTTGCCAGGAGCGCTGACGCTGGAAAGTTGACATGCTTGAATTTGACCCAATCGGCATACGGTACTGTGCAGTTCGAGGAATGCCAGTCATTCTGTTTTGTGGTGGAGTCTTCCCGAACGGGATATCATGTAGGGCAGCGAGCTGAAGCGGCCCTGGTGGGGATGAAAGACAGTTTAGTACATCTTCTACGCATTCCGGTGGGATCAGAGAACCAATTATGCGACTGCCATCTTTCGACTTCAAACGAACAACCTGCATACAACGATCCTGGCTGGAACGACCCTGAAGAAGTGGCTCAATTTGGGCCCACACATTTAGGACAGAGCCACTCAGCACGTAATAGGTCCGAACTCGGAGACCAACTTCACATACCGTACGTTGCTGAGCAGCTCGAGGACACATATTGTGCTGAAGCATGTGAATGCATCTGGTCGCGCTCTCTTTACACACTCGATGCCATGCATCTTGACAATCAGACGGGTTGGAAACACGATTATAGCGTTCAAGTAACTTTTCCAACTCCATTGGGCGTGACTGTAAGCCCGTATTGGGACGGTAAATCCGATAGTATTTTGTCTCTGTTTTACCACCAGACAGACGTGCACTGGGTCTGGATTTTAAGTACACAGCTAGTATCGGGATAACTACACGCATCGAGTTTGCACCGACAGGCAAATAAAATCCATCGTTAACACCATCGTGTTGTGTGTATATTTCCATCGCGGCAGCCCATGTAAGTCCACGTTCGGCTGTGACTTTATGCAAATGAACTTGCGTCTTGTCTGAAAGAAACCAAGTGTCAAAACTTTTGGTCCATACGATCTCCATATTTTGTCCACTCGTACCAAGATCCATGATACCCAGGTCGAGACGATTATCCCGCTTGGCACGTCGAGTTAGCTCCTCCAAGGTGTCGGAAAAGTAGCGGAATAGGGCGTTCTGAATATGCACACGTAGACCAAGCATTCGGTTTAAAAATTTAGACATTTGTCCACTATCTTTTTCTCTACTCCTGCCAGCCACTAAACCGACGCCTTGAAGACTAGCTTTCATGTCCATGAAAAACCGATTAGAGGGGTCGTCCGGATCATTATCTGCCAACTGGGATACATAATGCAACGGCGGTTCGACAATACCTTCTTCACCGTTCAAACAAGAGCGCAGAACAATGTCCAACGCTTCCCGACCTAATTTCGTATCGATATTAAATTGGGACAAATCACGAGTGTCTGTTGCCCGTCGATCACCGTGTGTTAGCGCACCGAGTGATTCTAGGCGCTTTGCTACAGTCGAGGCAAAACGCTGCTCACCGGCTAGATTGGATATTAAGAATATGTACATTGGAGCGCTAACTTGATTTGAGCGATGCGTCCGACCGAATTGTTGAATAGCTCGGTCTGCGCTCCATGGTAACTCCAGCGTGATATGTACACGACGGCGTTGGTTTATGGCTCGACGATCAGCTTGTAGAGAAATACCACTGCTCGCAGCTTCTGAAATGACCGCAATAAGTTTTTCGCCGTCCATGAAGCGCTGCTTCTCAGTGAGTTTGAGGATTTCCAAACTCACATCGAATTCGCGACGCGACTCATATGTAACACGTCCATCCTCACCCATGACCATCCGGCCTTTACGTCCAGTCATTTCTGCCACACACGAAGGACCACCCAGTTTGTCAATCAGTTCATCTAACGAGCTTGGGGGCAGCTTTGCACCAAGTTTTTCAATGAACCGAAGCAAAAGATTCTGCATTTCAGTACACTGGCGCTTTGCCTCTTCTGGTGAGAGACCGGACGAGTTGCTGGCCACTCCATCGACCTCACTGGGCGAATCACGACGGAAGAAGTATTTACGAGATAGTTCGCGCATCGAGTCATCTCCAAGGAAATCGTGGTTTAATCCACTGGATCGTTTTATTTTGCCGTCAGATGAAACATCAGAATGATCATGCGACCAGAAAGCATTCCTGGCCATGAAACTATCAAACAGGGCATCAGGATCGCAGTCATCATCAGAATTGTCTGAAGCATCATTCGACGAACTGCCGTCATTTCCTTGTCGTAGCTTGCGTCGGGAACTGTGATTTGTCTTCTTATTGTTTCCTTTCTTTGCCACACGTTTTGTTCCTGTCGAAGAATTCAACTCTAGATCAGAATCATAGTAGTCTGATGATGAAGAATGTCGACCAGATTTCGACCCCAAACCGTTAGATTTAACATCAGTTCCCGTGTCAGAATCATCATCACCAGATTCGTCAGACTTGTCATCATCATCCTCGTCATCCGAATCTGGGGATCCTTTGCCTCCCGGTTTAGATTGTTCTTCCTCATCACGTTCACCGTCGAGAGTGGAACCCGATAAACTACCACCGGCAACCAATTTTGCAAGCATTTTCTCTCCAAGAATATCTTTCAATCCAAGACCACTGCCTTGACCACCAGCTACTGCACGTCCAGCGCGACTCAGTGTGGTGTGCGAGCTGCGGTCTCCAGCACTGGCTAGTCGGTCACCACGTTGAACAAAGTTTTCCAAATTACTCGGAGTAGGGAAGTATTTTTCAACCAGTGATTGGAATACACCCCTGAAAAGGAATACAAATTGAAAGTGGTATCATACCATTGTATCGATAAGGAAAAGTTAGTGTTGTCAAATCAAATGGAACAACTGAAGATTATTGGGAAAAAATTAACAAATAGGCAATCATGATATATACAACGCACTATCCATGGCCGACTGTTATAGATTGGGGAAGCTGCGTACACGTTCGAGTTTGACATAATTCTTACAACAAATGCGGATTCCATCGCGTTTCCATTATCACCTGTCGTTGAACCAACCGAATAGGTGTTAATAGGATCATGCTGAAACACAGATTACCTGCGGGGATGGATATGAATCAAACTGCGTAGATATTCTGCTTTAATCTACCCTCCTCCTGAATCATCGAGGTCTAAACAGCCCTGTGTGCCAAATTATCAAAACTTACGGTCGATAGAAAATTTGTTCATCATAATGTTTCTACAATGCATCCATGGAACGGTGAAGGTATTACTTTAACAATATTTCTACCCAAAACAAAAGTCCTGAACTTTGCGAAGATTATATTTAAAAAACCAAATTGGAAATATGTTAGTGAAGAAAAAAAGGGGATAAAAAAATCCGGTTGTGCATCTACAGAAACTGAATAATTAACATCTAAGGTTTCAGTATCGTGGATAGGGGACAAAGAATACCTCCCTGATGAACTGTTTGATAATAAATAAATGTCTTTTACCTCCTTTTTTATTTGTTGAATATACAAATGTACAGTCGCAGAAATTCAAACACAGGGTGAGGAATCATTTCACGTATTGGAACAAGCGCCAACTTGGTCAAACGTCAAACTGAACGGGATGGTGTGATACAAGAGTTACGAGCAATCGGCTGACCAAAGAACAGACACACGTGCGTTCAGCTGCGGGTATGTAGTCAATTGGCAATCACTTTCATAAACACAAGGTATTCGGTCTTTACTTTTTCACTGCACAAGTATGTACTTCCTACAACTGTCCTAGATGGACTGCGCTGAAACGCTTTAACAGTAAATATTCATAAGAGGCTTTGTGAATGGTCAGCTACAAAGCACACAATAAAATAAAATGAATGCATTGAATTTGTACGCCATTACTACTCTGATAAAAATTACAAATCCAAAGGTGGTGATCGAGTGGCTTAATTTGCGATGACCGCAGTGACCGTCAGCAACAACAGATGTTAGAACCTAGGCATCAATTCATGCCACTACTCGGTAGCTCCGTGGTCACTCTGCTCAGGACCATATATTAAGCATTGAGATGAAGGGGAGTTTTAACTATATCATCTCCAAACCTGAGAAATATTCAAGACATAAAGAAGTCATTTTGAGAATGTGCACTAAAATGTACTGAATATCAGAATAAGAAAAATCGAAAATGTTTCTGGTTTCGTGCATGAAATCCAAGTTTATTTTTAATTCCCTGGAATTGATCCAATTTTTGGTGGTAGTAAAATTGCATCTGCTAAATTAAAGCAATTAAAATAAGAAAACTAGACGACACAAATGCGACAAACAGAAGTTACCGGAGCATGCACGGATGGGCGAAGATCAGTCAGTAGGTAACTAGTCTTATACCAAAAGTGGATCGGTATTCAACCAGTTGCACACGTGAAGCATGGTCCTTTGGAGTGTATACACATATTTCATAATTAGTAATATATGTATAACCAGTTTTTTATTCAACTTCATTGACTGTGGTTTCTAAAAGTTCTATTGAAATGGGCAACCAAAAGACAACAACCAAAACCGGGTCACGAAAGTGTATGGTTAATGGTTGTAAAAACTGAACTGAACTTATTTCGTGGGACTTTTCGGCAGAAATCCGTTTGAACTTGATACATAAATGAAAGTGTTATTAGTACAAAGGTTCCATTTGTTCACTTGAATCAATAAGTCCGTGATGGACGATCCGGTTTTGATTGTACTCAACAGCAAACATGAAACTCTAATTCTGCGGTAAGTTAGGGTAAATAGTTATTCCGGTGTAACGAGGAACTATGTCGATCTCAGCTTGGCACGCAATAACGCTACATCAAACTAGGTTGACTGATCTTTTTATTATACTACACACTGTGATCAACAGTGAAAGGAATAAATCTAGTAGCAATCTAAGGCTGAAAATCAACAAGCTAAAATTTGGGACTTCGAGAGGCGAACCAAACATAAGAAACCAATAGAATAGAGATTGCCTCTGAGTTAAACGCGAGTGCGCTTGGTTGGTCCCGAGTTGATATAGTGTCGGTTCATGAAAGGATGAACTCTATAACGAAATATTCGAACCCGTTGGATAATTTCGATGACAGTTATGGTTCTAACAGATAATGACGTGTAGTTTTAGAAGCTAAGTGCATCAGAAACCTGTTTAGGGGGCCACTATGCTTTACTCTCCCAGTCAAGTGTTAAACCAGAAATACGGTGAAACTCTTGAAACGAGCTTAAAGATACAAGATGCGCATCATACTTTGAGCGAGCTTGTAAGCATCTTTGAGGTAAATCACCGAGTATTTTATAATGATTCGATGGAGAATTCATTGTCCATCGAGTTCAGACCAGTCGGCTTCGCTGGCTAGGACACTTGTCGCACATGCCCAGCTATCATCTACCGCACCGCGTCCTATTCGCAGTTGCGGCTGCCGGTTGGAAGAAACCGCGTGGAGGCCGACAGATGACGTGGAAGCGAAACATGAAGAAATGCACAGAGCGATCAGGTAGAGTAGGTGCCTACCGTCTTCTACGCTGGGGTCCGAAAGACTCCGCGACTGGTTGATTGGTGAATAACCGACAGCAGTGGCGTTCTTGTTGTCAGGTCAGAATGCTTGAAAAGGTATGTATGCATACTTAGATTGTGTACTTTGTGTGCTGACCATAGAGGTTCATTTTCTTTGCTTCCCTTGAATTCGGCCCAATCCCTCTCCGTCTTGTGCTTTATCCCTTGGTTTGTGTACAATGTGAGCTTGGCAGCGATCAGTGAAGTTCGCTTCAATGATGATGATGATGATGACAGCCAATGAAAACTGCGTACTGGATAAGCATCCTGCTATACATTTAGACATGCAATGCAGCAGTGCGATTTAGTAACGATACGTACGCAAGCTTTGCTCCACCGCAAGATCTTTTGGAGTTAATTTTGTCAACGGTTCAGACAGTAAAGTGCGTAAAGTATTCAATCGTACAACGTGTGCACCATACTTTTTGCTGAAAATTACTGAGACAATACATGAAACACGTAACTGAAAGTGTTCAACAGCATTCACATAAGAATTAGCTCCACAACAGTTGGTTAACATTCGGATACTCAGTAAAAGTAATTTATAAAAAATGCATAACTTGAAAGATGGACACTGACGAGAAACACATATGAAACAATGGTAACTTGGCGGTAACTTGGGGGAACTCACTTCGTGGTAGACACAAAGTCGCCAAGATCGGAACCCAATTCTTCGACTTGTTCGAGTGTTTTCGCCTCCCCGGTCGATTGAAGACCGATGACAACGCACTGAGAAAAAGATTCCGAATAGTCATGAACAATGAGTAAATATGTGATAGAATACTACACGCATTCTCTTGATATTTTGGGACGTTATCCAATGACATGCCCCCAGTTAATATTCCTTATTTGACAGGATACACCTCAGGTAGAGACGTTTGAAGGAAACAGTTATTTTTATGATCTCTATGCCACAGGCTTGTTACAAAATAATTTCCGGAAACAAAAGTGTTCATACGAAGCGCTCATGAGATTTTTGCGGTGTACAAAGAACTTGATTGATAATGACCACAAATGCTCACCTTGCCCTCGCTGACGGCAGCTTTCGTCAATTCCACACAAGCGTCCACTTTTGCAGCGATACACAAATATTTGAAAAACCGCTGATGTGCTGACCAAAACTGGCCCCACATTGTTTTTCTGTATCGGTCCGTGAGGTTTAGTAGACGGGATGCTTCAGAGAAGAATCGGTAAGCATAGACCCACTACAATGGAACAATCAACAGAAGGGATTAAGCGATATGTTAACCAACAGGTCGCTTACGACAATAACCGGTAGAAGGGAATCGTCGCTAAGGAAGAATGGGCAACTCCTTTTGTCATCAGACAGCGGAAAATGTAGAATAGCTCACAGCCAAATTACCGCGAAATGTGCAAATATAACTGATGTTGAAAGTTACCAACTTGATGTTGATCGGAGATGTTTCTAGGGTTTATTTCTGAGCACAGTGAGTGAAGATAATAACAATAATACAGCTATCACAACCATCAAACCAGCATTGTCGCGAAGTGACTGTCTGATGATGAACCATGTGGACAACTAATGAAGGAGTACACGGAAGAGATGGAAGTTGAGCTCATTATTAAAATAAAGATACTGGAAGCAAGTAAACTAGATCTGTGCATAAAGTGATCAGATGCACGAACGACACCAAACGACGGTGTCCGTAAGCATCAATCCGAAGACCCAAATCGAAAGGTCGAATGGGACCTAAGTGACCGAGCCTTTTGGTTAAGGTTTTGTACCCTTGGCTGACTACCTTTAACCTTCTTTCATGCACTACCTGACGCACCAACTACCGCCCGATGACAAAGCCTTTCTGGTAACATGCGTAACACATGTCCCAACTACCTTTATGGAAATGAAGCGTTTGCTCCTATGCGCTATCGCGATCATCTACATTTCAGTGTCTAACATCATTGTTTGCCCGGTTGCCCCATCAAACCCATGCAATGCGATGTAGACAGTGCAACTGGAACACGGAGCGTCTAATTTTGTTGTTTCCGAAACGACCATATCTGAGCACCAGATGAACTGCCACAGCATACACTCGACTTATTACAGACAGACCGGTGTCGTGAGGGTGACACAGATGTGGTAGGCTTTCAGGTATGAACCGAGCCGTGAGTGGAAACATTGAAATAACAGCTGAGGGGTAGCTGACCAAGTAACGAAACTGGCCTGTTTTCTCTATTGATTCTTAAGTTACAGTGAGGTTAGCAGTTAGATCAACTAAATCCTGCAAAAGCATTTAACAGTTCGAAGGCACAAAGCGCATGGTAAATATAGCTACACTAACACTAAAACCGTTAAAAAATATTTAAATAATAATAACAACAATAATGTGCGGAAATCAAACGACTCAGTCACATAGATTGCATTATGCATCCCGGTTTGGGACTTCGGGGTTAGGGAATTGAGCGATATGACTATCGCGGATGGTAACAATCGCGCATCTACTTAGTTTCTTTTCTATTTTAGTTAAATTATACTAAGTCTTTATCCTAGCATTGCTCCCAGCGGTCTAACTTTGCACACGCCTCCAACAATATGGACAGCTAAAAAGCCAATAATCGAAAACGTAGTAAGAAAGTATAGGGTCGGTGATTGTATGGATAATTAACCAGAAGAAATTATGCCTCGTTGTACTTACCAGATCTGCCGACTGATTGTACACTTGAGTGAAACTGGTGTTCTTCAGGTGAACATCTTCGATCGCAACTTCTTTGATAGTGAAATGAACACCGTGGAAACTAAGTTGTCGTGCTATGTACATGCCACGAAGTTTCATGTCCATGGCTACAAGTTCCATCGCACCAACACCTCTTCGCTCAAGTGTCTGGATGAACGAGTTGAAAGTTTTGAAAGGAGTTCCTTCACCCCAGAGACCTAGTCGGGTCATGTATGCCATGTTGCGTGGTTCCGTTGCACCTGTTGCACTAGCGTAAACTATGCGTGCATTGGGCAGTCGATTTTGCAACTCAAGTACCGTCAAGCCGGTTTTTGTTGGTTTCTGTGACCCACTGGGCGTTAGATTTTTCGCGCGATGGCATTCATCGAAGACAATCTTAAACAAGAAGTGTGCATAATTGAACGTATACATATTAAAAGGAACTGATAAATTAAATAACTATTAGGTTTATAGATAAATGGGCTCTTCAAAACAGGTAGTTCAATTTATGTTCACAGTCAGACAACTGACGTAATCTAAACGGTCATTTCAACCATGTAAGGAAGTCAATCACGTATCTTTTTTATAAGACAAGTGAAAATTAACAACCACAAATAGACAGATCTACTGCCATCAACAGAAGTTCGGTTAGAATGTTTTTATGGTTTTCCCGAATACTAAAAATGATTGCGAGAAGAGTGAAGTGCATTCCTAATATTGATTTATGTTTTTCCCGAGCTGCCTGACACACGAAGGGTGAAGTGTGAGAATCAAGTTGAATCAGGAGAACGCAGGGTGATGACAGAAGTAGGGTCTTCTACGCGTTTTTCGGAGAAACAACATACATCTAAATTGAAAGTTTCAATAGTTCTAGATAAGACAGCATTTTGACCGATCTGATGGTGTGCGGATGTTGAACGCGGCAAAGTGAAAAGGGGTTTTGACTGAAAAAACGGAGCGTTCGACTCAAAAGTCTGACTCACATGGCAGTGGGGCA